TGTGTCGTCAATGCCTGCACTGAGGATAGGGAAACGTGTGCGTGGAATGCAGTCAGTGGAGCCACAACCCCCTTCTGCACGAGCTGCCGCCACACGATTCTTTGCCACTCGGAAAGCAGGAAGGTGGCTGCTGATGTGCGAGGAAAGTGTAAGTTGAAGTGATGCTTCGCAGTGTGTCGGCGTGTGTTTGTGCTTTTGTTCGTACTTTCATCACAGTTGAGGTAAATGGAGGCACGGGAGGTGACTCGGTCAACATGGAAGGTGATGGTGTGAGCTGATCGCTCATTGTGCACATTTAATGCTTACTTAATGGAGAGGAGTGTGGAGGAATCGTGAGAACAGTCGAAGAAGTGGCAAATTAATCCAATTTTCGCATCTCTTGCCCACCCTCTAAGGTGTTGTACAATGTCAAAACCTCTTCTTTTCATCCTCCTTGTACTCCTCCACCTTCTTCCATCCCACAACGTCGACTGCTGACTTGACGATTCGATGTCAGTACCAAACACGTTGTTTTCCTTTGCATCATCGTCTTTCGCCTTTAAAGGGACTGCGGTTGCACCACTGACGTTGCCTAGCCTCCCATTGTTAGTGTTACGTGTTCCAGCAGCGACGGTGAGAAAGCTGAAATGAAGGTCTGCGAGTGGGTTCACGTCAACCAGATTTGAAGGAGGCATGCAGACATTCTTGCAAAGGTGAAGGCAGGTCTGCAGACAACATTTGCTAATTGGCAGCGGTGTGGAGTGACGACAAAGTTGCGGTGGTACAGTTGCAGTGGCATTGGTGAGTGGAGTGTTCACTTGTGATGTCACAACGATCTGATTGTTAAAGCGTTTTGGTTGAGAGTTAGGAGGGGTGGTAAAGTCCGACGCAAGACTCATCCATGTTGTAATAGCCCTGAAGTGAAAAATACGTGGACGAATTACTCGCCAGTGCAGTAGGTGATGCTGCTGAGAATGTGAAAAACAGTGAAGGTCGTAACTGTTAGGTTCGGCTCTATTCTTTGCATCTAGGATTGCTGATTTCTGAATCGATGGTAGTGCGATTGGTAGCTCATTCGTACCTTTTGTGGAGAAGGCTAGTGGAAACGAAGGGGGTTGCATAATTACTGCAAGATGTGGCTTGGTGCTATGTAACAGTGTTCGGGCGAATGCATGCTCAAGCGTGCAACATGTAAGTTTAAAACGCTGCTCCAGACATGCACTTCACCGCAATTCGTGTTGTGGCTTGTG